ACTCCCAACCATGTAACTAGCCAACTTGCGGCTCAAAGCATCAGTGACCACATTTACTTTCCCCATGTGGTAAAGGATTTCATACTCATAATCCTTGACCACGTCGAGCCCCTACGCCGTCTCATGTTTAGATTCGGATGATCCATGAGATATCTCAAATTCTTATGATCCGTGTAGATAGTACATCGGACCCAATATAGATAATGTCGCTAAATCTTGAGAGCAAACACCACTGCTCCCAACTCCAAATCATATGTCGGATACCGAATCTCATGCGACTTCAGCTACCTAGAAGCATATGCAATAACCCTCCCTTATTGCCTAAGAAATGTCCCTAGACCAGTGATGGAAGAATCACGACAAACAAGAAAATGCTCAATACCCTCAAGAAGGGTCCACACTGGGGCCTCACAATAATATAGATCTACTAATCATTCATATACCAACATATCACTATCCTAAAACCAGGATACATAATCTAGTGGGACGACATTGTTTTTGAGCATAACATACAATCCTGTATGTGCATGAAACCCTAAATTAAGATCTACGTTTTCTCTAATTGAACATACAATGTATAAACCCTAGATCTCTAATACATAATAAAAATTACACGATTAGGGTTATGAAACATACCTTTGATTGTTATGTAGTAATAACAATCTTAATCCAAGCTTGAAAACCTCTGGTAGCAAGCGCCACGAGTGTCGTGTCTCTAATGGTTCACACCCAAACCCTAGCAACCAAGGAGCTTGAAGAGAGAAAATACAGATGTGGAAATTTCGGCCTAACCCTTCTAGGAATAGGATAGCCGAAATTCTGAGGCTAAGGGTCCTTATATAACTGAGGTAGCTTAGTCCCAAAGCTAGGGTTTAAGGAGGAAACCCTAAACTCTTTGCTTGGTGACCAAGCATCCCCTTCTCTTCCTTATGGAAGGGCTTGGACGAAATTCCTTGGGCTTCCCCAAGTGATTTTCGTCCACTTCATCTAATGAGGTCCATAGGCTCCTTTCCTCAAATTTCAATAAATAACCAAATAGACCCTGCAGTTTTAATTAATCCAATTAATCCCAAAATTAATCCAATTAATTCCTGATTAATTATTAATTAAATATTACAAATTTCTAATTAATATATTATTCTCATAATATATTAACAAATCATATATTTGATTTCTAATTAATTTATTAACCAAGTAATAAATTAATAAATCTGTCTCTCTCTCTCTCTCTCTAAAAGCTTTCATATTTAATTTCTAGGTTTGAGGGCAACCCAAAAGGATTGTGCTACTATCAGTTCAGGTTTATACCAATTATAGTTAAGGGCTTAGACACCTAATACAACAAGAAGAACTCACATCTCAGTCCGAATAACAGTTGAATAAAACTTTGCTCTGAAAACCGGCTCTACCCGACACCTATTATTAATAATATTGCCCAACTTAAAATTAATATAAAATTACCCAAAATACAATTTGGTTAAAATTGGCCACATATTACAAAAATGTCATTGTGGTCCATTTTGTAACATTTCTCATACACAAGGGAAAAAATACAATAAATATTCATACTTAGGGTTTAAATTGGAAATAATTCATCATCGAAAAGTCACATCATAAGTCAGCACAAGGCTGTACCGGGTCTATTTCACCCCACATACATATAGCAAACAAGACATTGCTCCGAATATCAGCTCTACCGGTCACCTATTCATTGGAACATGACCAAACATAACTTATAATCAAAATAACCAGAACACCCCTAAGTAAACTTGGTCAAAAGCAGGTCAATGTCGAAAAGTCAAAAACTCAACTGAGTAAACTCAGTTGAGTACGCCTAACATACTCAGCTTGTACGCTGAGCATACACAAGCCTTGACTAGAAATGGGGTGTTGTCCTTGTACGACCTTCATACCATAGTGTACGCCCAACGTACGTGCAACCATCATTTCCTTCTATTAAGAGCTTAATCCCTTAAGCTCTTTCGTCGAAATTCCAGATCTAATTCTCAAATGATGTCCTTAACCATAAAGTTTCCAACTTTATGGTCTTGCATGGCCATTAAGTGCTCAATACCAAAAACACTAACTTCTTAACTCTTTAAGACATCCTAGCTCATGCATGGAAGGAAACTAAGGTCCAAGATTAGATTGTTATGGTTCCTAATAACTCCATAATGGATAAAGTTTCCAACTTTATCCGTTAGAATGGTCCAACCAACCAAGATCTAGTCTTTAAGTCTCAAAGGGACCAAAAGTGCATATTTTCCAAGTTAATCCATTAAGTCCACGTCTCAAGTTTTTAGATCTGAATTAATATGATATTTAGATGGATAAAGTTTCCAACTTTATCCATAACAAGGTAACAAACTTTCAAGATCTAAACTTTATGCACTAAAGTGACCAAAGAGCTCATAAAACACAAAACTAGCAAGATGTAACAAATGCTTCATCAAGATTCAAGCTTTATACCTTCTGGAGTTGAGAAAAGCAATGTAGGCTCTTGATCTACAAGCTTGAGCTTCAACAATCACCAAGCTTGAACTTCTCTTTCATACAAAATGCATTCAAAACACATAGAAAGGCTCAAGATTTGATCTAGGGGCTAGGGTTTTGAGTTGGAGTCTAAAGTGGGTGGAGGCTGATGTTAGGAAGGACCTCCAGGGGTTAGAGTCCTGAAATAGGGCTCAAAACTATGAAAATAGGGTTTTTCCTCTTCGGCGGTACGCCCAGCGTACCTGAAGTTACGCCCAACATAACACCCTAAAAATGTGACTTCCTTCAACCTAGTACACCCAATGTACTAGGTAGTGTACGCCCAACGTACCAGACTCGTTTTTCCAGCTTAACTTCAAAAACCATAACTTCTTCGTTTCAACTCCGTTTTTGATGATCTTTATATCCACAAAAAGGTAACGACATCTATAATTATATCTTGATCCTTATGACTAAAAACATCTTGAACTAAAATCCTTAAGTAACACATGAAGCCCGAAACATAACTTTTCCCATCTTAGCCTCAGCTTCCATCAAACAATCCAATGTTTAAATCATTTGTCCAACATCATACACCGCCAATAGAATTTAAACTTCATTCCATTGAAGCCCAAGGCCTCCATTTGAGCCATTTATTGTTTGCAATCCTTAAATAAGAACTTCTCGAAACATGATGTTACATGCTCACTCCTATGATATTTATTTTGTGTTTTCCTTTGACGATATAGGGATGAATCTTTATTCTTAATAATGTTGATAGCTTTTATAGTGGAATAGTATGGATTATTCCATATTAGCATTACCTATGTGAGATGGATGTGAGGTCGCATCTTTAGGAGCTGATATGGCTAAGTTCTCTAAAAGTCTCATGAAGAAAGGATTGTTCGCGACCTAAATGAACACAACGATAAGAAATGATCTATGCTTAGATATGATATGTGTGATATTTCTTGTCTTTGATTCTACTATAAAAAGTGGTTAGTTCAAGACTCTAGTTCACTACCCACAAAGTAGATCCAAGTAGTACTCACTATGAAAGGTTCAAGTTTTACAACACCTATTCAGATGCATGTCATATCTTACTTCCCTTATATGAATATCAAAGTTCTCTTATTTTCTATTCAAATGTGGGGTATTTTTTGAGTTTGAATAGAAAATCTGAGGTATTGTTCGGACTTTGTTTAATAGGTTGCATTGTGGGACTTGTCCCACATTTGAAGCAAGAAAGAAAAAGCTCATCCTTATAAGTATAAGCCTCGTTAGTTTATCATTATGGATAAAACATTAGGCTAAGATTGATGGGCTTGGGTTGTGGTGTTGGACTAGCCTAATTGGACTCAAATTAGGCTAATGTCAAGAGAATATTTAATGGTCAAAAGATGGGTCTTGGGCCTTTTGGGGTCTTCCTGATTAATTATTTTTTTATTTAATTATGAAATTAATTTTTATTTTTATTAAATTTGTAATTACTGAATTGACAGGTATTATGGCAATTATTTTTGTTTTTTGATAGTTTCCAACTGTCATAATCAAAGCCTATAAATACTTATTTTCAGTCATTTGTGGAGGGTTACAGAAATCATATCATACCACAAAAACTCATCATGTAAATTCGTTTTTCTGAAGATGAAAGGAACATTGAAATTTTCGACAGATTCAAGATCACTTTTTCGATTGATTGTTGTGTCCTCAAGGCATATCCATAGCCTGAAAATTTTTGTCTTAGGACACTGCTTGCAGGCCTCAATTTTCTAAATACAATAAGTAATTATCAGAAAAAAACATATTTGAATGATGATTACACACCAAATTACAATTTCGAAATTTGATATTTGATTTGAATTCCATTTGTTATTCTGTTGATTGTTTATTTCTGTCATAACATGTCCTCCATTTGACAAGAACAAGTTTTCTATGTGGATGAACATCAGCAAGATTATGATGGTTCTTCAAACCATGGATGTTGTTGATTTTGTTATTGATAATAAAGTTGATCTAGGCTATAGAAATAAATTTTTAATATATTTTTTCACTGCATTCAACAAAATTACATTAAATTGTATTTGTATATAATTCTATTATTTCCAACATACTTATGTTGCAGAATCTACCCGACCTTTTAAGAATATGACTCTTTTGCTATGTCTCGGTAGTGGCAATAATGCACATTCACATAACAAATAAGATTTTTTTGTGGATCAAATTTCCGTTTGTTGGTCTCAAGATACAAAATCCGGGTACGAGTCTTTTCATTTCATTTAATTTCATTTCTTCAACTTCTTTAAATATATACCATGAACTGATCGATCCCAACTCACATGGAAGAACCATTGGTGGTATTTGAATTAAACTAAATTCAGAAAGCAGAAATGGATATACAGAATGGCATAGAGGAAAAAAAAAATTACACTTTCTGGCACCAAACAAAAGGTATGCAGACCTATGTCAATATGTCATTGTTAGCGCTTTTTACTTGATCTCTTCCACCATTCATCATCACTCTTAATTTAATAAGAAGATTCCAAATCTTTGTCGTAGTGCTCTTCATCCTTGTCTTCTTCTTTTCTATAAACAAAGCAGCAAAGTCACAAAAAAGAAAAAAAAAATCCACCGCTCATAAACACTATTGATACTATGTTTGGTTTGCTGCGTGCGAGTTGTCATCTTCATTGTACTTAGCCATGGAGAGCGTGAGCCATATCAGTAGGATGGTTCCCATGCTTGACCTGTCAAAAATGATTGACAGAAATTTTAGATTCCCACTTTATGAGGCCATTGCAATGCAAAGTTTGTTGTATTTAGCAAAATGGGAACTTAATATTATGCTTACAAGGTGGCAAAGAAGAAGAGGATTCTTCGTGGATTGATAATGGAGGATAGCTTAAAACTGCTTGATTTCTTCCCAAAAAGACTGCTTTTGAGTGGTGTTCCGGCAGGTTTGGTTGTGGTGGTGTTGCCACTGGTCATGATGGTGATTTGATGGTGTAGTTGTGGGTCGAGGATATGATCAGTGTTCGGTTTCAGTAACATCAACTTTTCTGGCATGGTACCCGCCATCAATGAAGCTGTCCAATGCACATAAAAAAATTCATCAACGCTAAAAACAAAAAGTAATGACATTCTCTAGTATCCACGACTTTTTATTTATATATATATTAAAATAATTGCACTTTTGAAATCATACTTATCAGTAACGATATATAATCTTTTAAGACTCCATGGAAATAAATTCAGTTAAATCCATCAATTGTGAATAACATTTAAAAGTTAAACCCAAAGCAATATGATATTGTTATTGTGCGTTTCTTTTTCATTGAAAGTTCATGATTGATCCTGTATATATTCCAACTTTGTGGGTTCTTTATCTTTAAATTCAAGTTCATGAACACGTCTACCTTTAACTCTCATAGTTTCCATCGTGGTAATTATGTGAGAATCCATAAGAAATCTCGGCTACAAAGCTACAGATTGTCTTTCATTCATTGTCCACAAAGTGATGCTTACATATATCATGTTGATTGTTGTATATATCGAGCGGGGACCATTAGGTGTGCCATATAGCCTAAATTGTCAAACATATATTCGCCAACGATAATTACTATGGATAACCTCACCTTAATTTATGGTCACAGTTTGTTTTTAAAATTTAGGAATACGAAGCAGCAAAACAAAATTTTGGCCATCTTATATTTATAGCAAACTAAAAGGAATGAATGCAAAAGCATGAAATAGATTAAAAATTATAATTAAGGAAATAGTATATAATAGGATGTGACCTTTAGGTGTGGGGATAGTATCTCCATTGCTATCATTCATTAGAGAATTCGAATTCAACTTCTTCTCAGCCCTTACTTGCGACCCTTTTCTTGATAGACTCCTATCCATCTACAAAGCATCAAAATTTTGGGGAAGGAATAAGTGAATATATAAACAAAAAAAATATTTTAACGTAATTTCTACTTTCACAATTTAATACTATAATTTATTCAACGTAAAGGAAGGGTTCATTTGTGATAAAGAGAGTCAAGTGGACTTTGAATTTTGAACAAAGCAAATATATAACTATATTTCTGATGTATCTTCACAATAATCAACTTGTTTGATTGTTTACTCAAGAGGTTCGGTTTTCTCAATTAAATAATATTATTTCCATGTTTCATAATAGGAAATAAAAAAAAGGAGGTAAAGGAAAATTCTTGAAGGACAAAGGCTCATATTATGTATCCAAGTTATTGAGTTTTTATATGATGATTAGTAATAAAGTAAAATATCTTTTCCGCTAACGTTCACGGAAAGTGTAAACCTTCGTTAGGAGAAAGGCCTAACTTGATTGCGCAACTATCAAAGTGAAAATGATGATAACTTAATATCACCCCCATCCAAATTTGTCAACAACAATTTGTATAAATCTTTAATATAAAATGTAATACATTTAACACTCAAAGCACAATCATTAGCGATTAACTTACATTAATTCTTGAACTATGGGTGAGATCTTTGTTGCTATGATGAGAGAGAGGTTCCATATCAACTGTGAAGCTATCAGACTTTATGTCCAAAATCTGATCCGACTCTGAACATTTCTGGTTACTCTTTTCTTGTATTTCTTCATAACGCTCTTTGCATGAGCTTAAATTCGCCAAACCCATCATTACCTGCAACTAAAAATCAACTAAGTACACAAAAGAAATGTGATTCAACAAAAAAATGATGATGATAAAGATATTAAATAAAAAGTATATAAAGATTATTAACATTGATTTAATCAAAGAAATAGTCAGCGATCAGATCTTTGTATCAAATTCGGCAAGCACTTTCGTTTTACAACAGCAAATATATGAAAACCAAAAAACACCTGGAGTTATGATATTATAAAATCATAATTTACTTATTTACCTTTTCCCCACTTTTCTTTGATTAGGTTTCGGTTGCGTATTTAACGAGAAGAACTGTCACCCTCGTGCCGATGTTCTACCGATTTTGTTGATAATGTTCAGGTGGGGGATAAGCTGATGATGATGGGAGCTGAAGAATGTTGGGAGAGGAAATGAAGTGCGAAGTGGTGACGGAAAGGTGAAAGAGAAGGGTTGTTCACAGAAAACAAGGTTTTTAAAGAAAGGGTTCAACACGTCATGATGGGTTTTGGAAACAATTTAATTTGTTTCTAAAACTTTATAATAATGGGTCGGTTCAATCAAAAATTGGGGCTGGTTTGATGGAGAAAATAACAAAAAAAATTTGACCTTTTCTGCAGTTTGTTTTTTTTTTCTTTGTAAATTGGTTTCTCAAAGAAGAAATATAACAAACACCGCATCTCATTTTTAAGGATAAAAGGTATACATATACGGGTTAAATTTAAAGGTATATGATCACCAACCACAAGTAATTTAGAAGGTATACATATTCGGTTCGGTTCGGGTTTTTGGGCCAAATTCCCATCCCTACCCTCTGCTATGATCACCAACCACAAGTAATTTAGAAACATCCAAATCTAGTAATCTACATATTATTGGACAATCGATGACAATAGTTAAATAAATAAAACTGCAAATTAATATCATATTAAAATGAATCTTATTAGGCAACTGATGATGGTAAATAAGCACTCAAGCCGATCACAATCTTCTATCTTATTGTAGGTTATTGTTCCCGAATTCGCTATTTCCATATTGTAACAATATATAGGGAGTATGGAAAACGTTACTCGTAGGGATGAGAATTTGGCCCGAAAACCCGAACCGAACCGAACCGAACCAAATTAGGCCCGAATAAGCAATTTGATTCGGTTTTTGGATATCTATATGAGGCTTATTCAGTTTTCGGGTTATTCGGTCCAAGTTACCCGAATAAGGGCTTATTCAGGCCAAAAGGACCGAACCGAATTTGAAAAGTCACAATTTTTATTTTATGTTTCAACATGTTTTACAAATTTTTAGCCAACTTTGAAGTGTCATAACGTCTTCGTTATTTGTCCGATTAGCCCGATTTTTTTCCAGCTTGTAGTTCACAATTTAAACTACAGTTTACACTATTTGAATGCATTATTTGAGTGTATATTCACTGAGTAACATGCATCTAAACATGGGGTATTAAAGTTGAGTTTTCTGTTTCAGCATGTTTGCAAATTTTTAGCCAACTTTGAAGTGTTATAACGTCTTCATTATTTGTCCGATTAGCCCGATTTTTTTCCATCTTGTAGTTCACAGTTTAAACTACAGTTTACACTATTTAAATGCATTATTTGGTTGTATATTCAATGAGATACAGGCACCTAAATAAGGGGTATTAAAGCTGTTTTTTTACAAAAAAAATACTAACATTTACTTTATTATAATAGATCCTACATATGTTCGAGATGTTTTGACCCCCACAAAAGAAGATTTCAACATTTGTAGAGCTATGGTTGGATTTCTCGTGAAATTCAAGGTGAAAACCGACATAGTAACGACGTCAACAAAACCGATGACATCGTTTTTTTTGGAGAAGTATGTGATGTGTACAAACACAAATTCTAACTCTTTTTGCTCCTTTGAAACAATTATATATACTTTGTATTATTTTAATTAACAAATTTATTTCTTTAAAAGATTTGTTATGAAATTATAAGCTGCAAAAGTTGATGAGATTATAGCGCTATTAGATCGACAGATTCTAAACAGATAAACAAATATAAAGTAACAAAGGAACACAAGAATGAATCAAACAGATGTCGAATGATTAAATTATGCTCCACCTCAGAAGAGCTCGATGAAGAACTTCGACTGTAGAGGTGTGTTAGGGTTACAGTGTTATTCAATGCAAAATAATCAATGAGAAGCGTATCTAATCTAAGCATGCATGCACTATATATAAACCCTAAAGACTAGACACAGTTGGACAGGCCCAAACCGTGAATACAAAATGGACTATAAGACTAGCCCAAAGACGCAACGCCCCAGACCCAACAATCTCCCCCTTTGCGTCAATAGAGACGAGAGGTCAAGTGGGTTGGGCAACATCACCCCTTTTTCACTGTCTTGAAGAGCTTCGGTATGATGGCAAGAAGAGTATGTCGGAAGTCTATATATCACCGAAGCATATCCGTGAAGTTCTTCTTATCTGCAGCTTCGTTCTGTTTACACCTGTGGATGATATCCAAAATATGCTCCAAGCAACCCGTGGAAAACAGGTGTTTGTCATCAAGATAGAACACAAACTTATGATTGTCTTGTCTTGTGAACATGACAGCACGATACTTAGAATCAATCTTGCCCATCTTCATCTTGGTAGCATCGCATGAAGTCCCAATGGGTTTGACTATAGGCCTTTTCCTCATGACAAGAGCAATCTCCTGATCCATCTTAGCAACCTCATGAATGTAGGAAGCTAGCATTCTCTTGATATGATCGATAATGGGCTCGTACTGCTGTGGATTGGAAAGCAGAATGTTGTTTAGAACATATGAACCGAATCATCTGACCCTCGGGTCACCCTGAAACCAACATTGACAAAAGACCCAGCCGAAGTAGGCTTCAATACTTTGACGGATGTAATCTTCTGTGCACTCCACGTCAAGTATTGTGGTTGTGAATACTTAAGATAAAAATCAATAAGATCCCGATCAACCTTCGGGTCTGGAGAAGGAATATTTACAGTCGCATCAAAACTGTGAAACACAAAGGCCTTTCGGGTTATAGGCATATCAAACTGTGAGTCCTTGGTGTTTTAACAATCAAACGAAGTAACTGGTTCCAGCCAATGAGTGCTTGGAAACTCAATTGCTTCTTTTATCAAGCTCTCCTCGATCCATAAAGGAAATAGAGCTTTCTTGCATTCCAGCGTATCATGTGCCTCTTTTTCCCTTTTCCCTTTTCTCTCTCTCTATCTCTTCTTCTTCTCTGGCCACTTTTAGAGTTTCATCAAGCTCTTTATCACGTTTCTTTCTTTTTAGAAGGTGTTCCTCAGTTTCCTCCTCGTCATCACTATGACCCATAATGCCTTTCTTTTTGTCCAACACACTAGAACCCAAAGCTTCATTACCCTTCGGTTTAGTGGTGACCTTCGGCTTTTTGGGAGGATTTTGAGAATCTTCTCCCCCCCTTGTTGCGGAGTAGCAATAGGCTCCGTAACACCCTCTATCCGACTTAACATTTCCAAAGCAGGAAGAAGTTTTTCCTTTAAGTGTTGTCGGACAGTGATTGTAAGAACCGAATCGTGAGCATCCAAAAGATTTGAAAGAAGTAGATGCACATCACTCACACAGCTTTTAATCACTGTGTGTTCGGTCTTGAGGGCTTCAATCACCTTCTGTGCTTGACTAAGTCCCAAAGTGAGATTGGCAATCTGAGATTGGGAGAGAGCAAGATCTTCCCTCACTTGGTTATCCAGGGCAAGGTCTGCTTGAAATTTGGCAAGACGTGTATCAACAGAAGAAACAAGTGTAGCACTATCAGCTTGAAGACCTTGACGAACTGCTTCAAATTTTTCTCTTTCAGCCTTAAGAGATTTTGACAGAGAGGCAATGGCTTCATTTGCTTTAATGGTATTGGCCTCTGCAATGGTTTGATGAGATTCCATGAATGACTTTGAATCAGAAATAAGGGTTTTGACCTCACCAATCGCGTTGTTGGAAGAGAGAGTGGCAGCTTCAATAGCTTGAGTAGCTTTATCAATCGATTGATCATGTTGTTTGATCAAGGTCTCAACCAAAGCCTTTATAGCAACATCAGAGTATGATGAAGTGGAGGAAGTAGCAGAAGATCCCAGTAGCTGATCAAGCTTGTCATTGAGATCCTTCAAGTGATGCTTGGTAAGAGGAACATCATCGTCATCTTCATCATATTGAACTCGATAAGGACTATAATAGAATGACTCATAGTCCATATCAGCTCCACCAAGAATAAGGTCAGATTCATTAGAGGGTGAGGGAGATGGAGGTGGGTTTGTAACAGTGGTTTCGGTTCCTGAGGTAAGTGCCCCCATATCAGATACGTTGACACGAACCTGAGTTTCAGTTGTGGTTGTTGTTGTTGAAGTTGCTTGAGTAATGATGGGTGGTTGTAGAGGTATAGTAGAAGTGGGTACAGAAGAAACAGGTGGTGGAAGTGGTGCAATGGTAATAGGAACAGAAGTATGATTTAGAGAAGGAGGAGGGGTTGGAACCGAGTCATTAAGTGGTACCTCTGGAGTTGGAGAACGTGAAAGGTGTGTTTCCCCTTGGTGAGTCTTCATTGTGAACATCTTCACCTTCAGATGTCTTCTCTTGATCACCATCAGAAGGAACATAATCTGAGTCACTAGGCGAGGATGCCTTCGGTTTCTTTGCCATCTTCTTAACCTTTTTCTTCTTTGGAGCCGAAGGAGCTGCTTTGTCAGCTTTACGCTTTTTGGGCGTTTCAGCTTGTGATGAAGGACCTTCGGTTGCTTTCTTCTTGGAATCTGGTTTCTTCCCCCTCTTTGTTGGTTTTTCAACCGCATCTAGAGCAAGTTACATCAACGGAGTCAATTGTCTTGGTCCCGTAGGAGGAAGTTTTCTGTATTCAGCCATGACATTGCTAACTGTAGCGACACTTTGGTACATTGATTCAGGAATGGACCCAATGAAGAAGAACTTGGTTGAATCAGTGACACTAATCTTCTTTGTGTGAAAGGTCACAATTGATGAGCGCAGGGCATCCGCCATAACTGGAACCTGAAAGGTCTCAATCGCCCTGTGAGTTATAAGGGTCCAGAACCGACCACAAGAAATCTTTGAGTCGCTTGCAGATGAATTGAAAACTCTGTACCACTTGAGCCCAAATAAGCGTTCCATAGTTGAGGTTTAGACCATGGTAGAGACCATAGAGAATAGTCATAAACCCTTTGTTTGACCCGTCTGAACCTGCAACCCTTTCTGATAAACCCTTAACTAGAAGGATTAAAATTCCGTTCCATTGTGGTGGAAGGCAGGATTTCTTGAATTTCGTTATCGTGGTGAGAACGTCAGTATACCCCATATCGTAGAACATTGTGAACAGCTGAGTTGTGGTGATGGAATCAGGATTTACCAAAGAATCACCAGTAGGAAGCCCTATCAACGAACATAATCGAGCTTTGGAGACTGAGGTCTTGTGAATGAAGATTTCGAAAAAGATCCTGTCTTTGCATTTGTCATAAAGGACGGAGGTATACACCTAGGAAAGCAGAGACATCAGCACAGATTCCACTTTGGTGAGAGCAGTTATGAGTGGTAAATATTTTAGACATTAAACCACTTGTAGCATATAAGGATCATAGAGGAATGGATTCAATTCGATAAGAAGATTCTGGTTAGGTTTGATGACCAGCAGAGTCGAT